TGCGACTTCCGAATTTTTGACATTAATTTGGTTAGAGGAGATTTGGTGAAAATGCACGCAGACCTCTGTGAATTCAGCTATTATATGCATGACCATGCCGGTTGTGTTATTTGCAGTACAGACATACAGGGTTGCGAGAAGATAAAGGCTGATTTACAAGAGATGATGGATGAGGGCTTAATCCATATAATCAGGCCTAGGGCAGAGTATGAAGAGGAAGTGAATATGGTTTCTGGATGTCCTGGTGAATTCAGAATTTTTGATATGGAGTACTTGAATGAGGATCTCGTGCAGTTGCATGCTACCTTCTGTCGTACTGCTGGTCAGGTGGAACACCAATATGGGTCTTGCATAGTTTGCTGTCGAGACCCACGAGGATGTTCAATTGTAAGGGAAGGTGTTCAGTTCCTGTTAGACAATGGGACTATCAAGATTACAGGTCAGAGAGATGATTATCATGAGGTTAATATGGTTGAAGTTTGTTTAATGGAAGAAGAGTCAGAGGAAGAGTATGCCTCCGCGGATGAGTATTTCTCTTTAGACGAAGATTTGTTTTTGTTGTACCCCAAAATTTGCCCTCCTATTTTTCCACAAGAAATCACAGCTTCGGGCTTTTCCTGATTTTTCAGATTGGCGTAAGAATCAGTCAAACAGACTTTTCTTATCAGTCAGACAAAATTAGGGCTTTCATTGATTTTAAAGCAGTTCAGGCAGATTGCTAAGGTTTGGTTGAGTTGGCTCAGGTTTTGATCAGGCGGACGCTTCTTTGACATTTAACCAAGAACCAGGGTTTTGTGCGCGCATTCTCAGAAAGAATTAATTTTACAGTTTCTTTTCAGTTTACTCTGAGATTTGGATTGAAACATTTGAATTGAGAACTTGCAGTTGTTTTGTTCAATCAGTAAAGGCATATGGACGTTTGTTTGATTTGACTGTGCATTGCTGTGGCTATTTGAAACGCCAGGTTTATTATTGATTGATGCTAAGACCACAGTGTTTATCAATTGTTTGTTTATTCTAAGATTAAAATAATTGGGATTTATTTCCATTTTATTATAATTTAAGAATTATAAACAATTAAATAAATATTTGAAGGAGAAAAAAAGAATTAACTGATCAAAAAGGATTTTTATTTTATTCATCTTTAATTGTTTCGTTACAAATTATTATTTGAACAACTGTAAATTTATTTACATTCTTGTTTACAATGATAATTTTACAAACAATTAAAATTGAAATAAAGATATCCTAATTATCCTAAATCTTCATCCTCCATTTGTTGCTCCCCTTTGCTTAATTGATTTTCATCTGCAAAACAAAGAAGAAAAAAAGTCAAATGCAGATAAAATAATTAAAGAGCAGACAGATAAAATTGGATTCATCATTAAAAGCAACTGGCCGGAATCAGTTTCCCCTCTCTGCAAATCACAAGATTGCTCTTGGTTCACAAAGAGGGATAAAATGTCTTGCAAAAATGTGAAATGCACAAATTCAAATTTTCAAAACATACTGCATTGTCAACATACTGCATAAATCCAAAATTCCAAACCAAGGATAAAAGGCAAACTGAACTAGGCCTAACCAAATCAAAAGTTCAAACTATCCAAACTGTCCAAAGCTGTCCAAGAGATATAGAAAGATATCAAGCTATCAAACAAGTAAAAAAGTTGTCAACAAGTATGCAGAAAATCTTGAAAGAAGTACAAAGTATGCAGAGCTAAACTACAAGTGCAAGCAACATCAAAAAAGCATCATTTTCCAGCCAGTACACTTTTTCAGCATAGGACAAACATAAGCAATATTAAAAGCTTTAATCTGTCAAGAGAGAGAGAGAGAGAGAGAGAGAGAGAGAGAGAGAGAGAGAGAGAGAGAGAGAGAGAGAGAGAGAGAGAGAGAGAGAGAGAGAGAGAGAGAGAGAGAGAGAGAGAGAGAGAGAGAGAAGAGAAAAAGAAAAGGCTTACAGGGTTTAGGCTTGAAGAAAGAAATATATAAATCAAACTGTTATCAACACAGTAGAGGGAGCAGAATAATACATAGAAAGGACCAAGGTTGCAAAACGGTAACACAAAACTGAAGCAAGCCTTGAGCCAAAGCCATGAAACCTGCCTCAAGTCTTAACCAGCTCACCAACAAACGTCCTGCAAAAAACCTTAAACTGAAAACAACCAGAAGCAAAAACCTGCATTCAAAGCCTTTTAACAGCATAAGCCTTACCAAACACATAACTCACAAATCAACATCAACCTTTCAATAACCATTCAAAGCTTCCAGCCTTACCTGTTGCAAACCCAACCTGTCAAAAGCCAAAGCCACAAACTGAGGCCTAGAACCTCAAGCCTCTAAACAACAAACAGAACCCTCAAGCCCTGTAAAACCCCAGAACCAACACATAACAAAATTCCAACCAAACCTGCTAACTCGTTACAAGCTTTTCAAAGCCTAAACTTCAAACAAGCTTACTAACCAATCCAAATAGCAAATGTCCAAACAACCCTAAAGCCTCAGAATCAAATTCATCATAGGCAAGCAATCAAAGGCATCAAGCAAGCATACAGAAACAGAAAGAGAGGAAAAGCAGTGAAACGAAAGCCAACAGTTCTCAGATTTTTCTCATCATTGAAGAACATCATCAGAGGCAACAGAAGCAAAGGGCGAACAGAAGAAGAGGAAAAGAATAAAAATCATACAGAGGCATGTAAGCAAAAGACAGAATCAGGCGAACAAGGTTTTCAGGTATCATCATAAAACCTAAAAGAGGCGAAATACAAAAGTACCAGGAATTTTTAAAGCGCACATCATCACCAAGCCCTCGCCTCCGGCCGTCCAAAGCGCCTCCAATTCCATCTCCTCCTCCGTCTCTAAAAGGTAGTATCCCTCCCTTTTTTTCTTTCACGCACCTCAAACAACAACAACACTTAAAAATCAGAAAACGAAACTAAAACATGCATGAGCAAGACAAAACACGAAACCACTAGGACGAAACGGAGAAGCTGTTACCTTTGCTTTGTCACTCCTTGAGCGATCCATGGAGAGAGAAGGAGCGGACGATGGTGCTGGTGGCTAGGCAAGGGAGAATCGCGTTCAAGATGCTTGGCTCAAAGAGAACGAAGGACGAAGACGAAGAAGAGCGCCGCTTCTGTATTCAACAAACCCTAACTCATTCCCAAATGAAACAAATCCAAGTAACCCTAAACAAAAAACGTTATGAAACAAAATGGGCCTTGCCCTTTCCTAATCAGACTAAAGCCCATTTCCAATCCTAGCGCACCCCCCCCCCCCCCCCCCCCTCATGCTTCTGTTCATTTTCTGATTGGGCTCAAGTAAATTCCTTAGCCCATTTAATTTTGAAACTATACTTTTTTTTTCTCATCACCTCATATCTTTTTTTATTTTGTTAAATAAATTTTTTATTAGCTCTTTATTTTCTTTTTCATAACACAATTGAATTTTGTAAATAAATAATACATTAACACATATTTTTTTACACAAATTTTCTTAATCATTTCTTTTATTTTATTACATTTGAAAAGTACATAAATACTTGAATTTAATTAGGTTAATAGATCTTTTTGTCTTAAAACTTTTAACTAAAAACATTTGTACATAAAATACTAACTAAAAATACATAGAACATTAATTTTTATTAAAACTTTTCTTTTCTTAAAACATTTGTTTTGTACATATTAACAAAAAATACAAAAAGAATAAATACATGCTTAATAAATACATTCTTTTTCACTTGTAAATAAATCATACACTTACACAAATACATTGATACAATACACATTTGCTTATTCTTATACATTGCTACAT